ACTACTGTTAGACAAGGAGCGCAATACCGTGGGAAAAGGATAGACACACGTGACGTAACAGAGAAGGAGGGGACTATCGAACGACAAGGACAGAAATATTTCTTTGTTTAATGTAATGAATATTCATTAATTACTCGATTTCTAGGACAAAATCATGCACTTTTCGAATCGTGGAATGAAGTTCTGACTACAAGTGACATTCACTTATCGTTTTGCATAAACATTGTTGTTTAAATTAAGATTTATTAATTATTATTGCACGACATTCCGTTACTACCGATGATACCGTAGAACCGACGCAATGAATTTTCGTATAATTTGGATTAACAGATAATTAATTATTAACGTTTATGCATGGAATATAAAGTGCAGAGTCTAAGGAAGCTTCTACGATCTAAAATAACGAGCTTTAATCTTCTAAAAACTCAATGGTAATGGTAGAACACACATACTCGCATCGCGTAAACCTAGACGCTTGTTGAGATATTTGTGAATAACTAATTAATTAAATGGTAAATCATATGCAAAACTATAAAGGAACGTTACGTAAGGCTTGTACTGTATTCTTCAATTCCAAAAGTGCATAAATTCTCTCTGGAATTCAAATAATTAGTGAAAATTCTATAGATTACATTAAATTTCCATGTTTCTAGTCAGGCTCCGATAGGTGGCAATAGTGCTCGACATTTTCTTGTCTAATTCACTGAATATTCGCTAATTATTCAAAATCTGGTACAAAATTGGGAACTTTTGGAATCGTGGAATAAAATCCAATCCATAAGCAATATTCTCACATAGCTTTATATCGGAATTACTCTGCGAACGACCAATTATTAATTATTGTTGCACGACAATCCTTTACTACAGGGTATCGACGCGATGAATTTTCGCATAATTTGAATTAACACGTAATTAATTAACAATCTTTGTGTATGAAATGTAAAGTACAGAGTCAAAGGAATCTTCTACGATTTCAAAAAGTTGGCTTCAAGGTCGTTGGAGATCGATATTAATGGAAAATCGTAGACAAGCGTTATGAAAGACCAGATCTTTGTCGAAAGAATCGTTTGTAACTAATTAATTAAACAAGAAATCCTATCTGAAACTGTATAGGAATGTTGCTTGAGATTTTGATTTTGTTCTTTTATCCCAAAAGTACACGAATTGTTTCTGAGAATCAAGTAGTTAATGAATATTTAACAGATTAGAAGGAGAAATATGTCGGTCCTTGTCGTTCGATAGTCCCCTCCTTCTCTATTACGTCACGTTTGTCTATCCTTTTCCCACGATATTGCGCTCCTTGTCTAACAGTAGTCGAGATACCTCTGTTTATATTCTATGTTCCTGTTACATTTTCAAGTTTTCAGTCC